AAATACCGCTCAGAAATATCTTTGCCAAATTTTATCGAGATCGGTTCAGATTTGGATATAGCTCCCATATATATCTTTATATGATTTCAGAACAATTTTGCACCAAATGTTGTATTGCCCATTTCCGACTTTAAAAGATACAAATGCTTCGGCACATTTTGTCCTTTGAACTTTAAATTATAATTATAATCATGGCGTGTATGATGGAATTCTCCCATAAAAAACTTTTAATTGTTATGTGGAGCTCTACTAAATTAGCAAAGTGGTGTAGGGTATCAAAAAGTTGGCCCCGCCCGACTTTAGGACTTTCTTTACTGGTTTAGATATATAGATAAATATCAGCTAGCAGCCTGAAAGGATTTATAAAGCTTTTCATTTTCCTTCCTTTTTATATTATTTTTTATATTTCACATTCCCTTTATTTATTTTATTAAAGAGATATATTACAAAAAATCTCCTTATCCTTTAAACTCATATCTCAGCATCATGCTGACATAGTATTTCTCTGAGAAAATCCACATTTAACATAAAGTTACATTTTAAAAGGATCCAGAAATACTGTCAGCTTTAGTTGGCTGGCTTTTTGAATTCCATCCATCTTCGACATCCATTCATCCTTGGGAGTTTTACGAAAGCAACCTTAAAAGCTTCACCGAAATCCATATTGTCACAGTGGATGTGGATGTAGTTTAGCTTCATAGCATTGCTCGCTCGCATTTCTTACGTCAAATGCATTTCCAAATCGATTGTTACATTTTCCGGTTGTATTTCCCAAACCGCTTCCCCCACCAAAACCAAGAGAACCACGACAAGCCAACGACAATTGTTAGGGCTTAAGGTGTGGTATACGTGGCTAAGGTTCTGGAAAATGTTGGGGTTTCTTGGAATAAAGGGTTAGGTGGGGTGGGTCGGGTCGGGTCTGTGTAGAATGCACACAGGAAATGATGAGTGAATGCAAACTCACGCTGACAGTCATGCCAAGTATTTTCTCTATTATTATATTTTCTTTTCGCCTGGCGTTGCTGGAGGTGAGTGTTTCAACCCGTTGAGTGGCACTTCGTTACTGTAAAGAGATGTAGATGAAAAACAATAATAACCGGAGACTAACGAATACAAATGAAATGCAAACATACACATACTCACACACTGGAATATATACTCACTCACCCACTCTTTATTATTCTTGAAAAAAGACAAGGATGCACTGACACGTAGCTAAATATAAAGTGCTTTTCATTTTGCTTATGTATTTCTAAGGATATGGAATTGTGGTAATGTCTAGGGAGGGAAGAGCAAGCTAAGGGGGAATAACATGTATAAGAATAGTGTTAAGAATGCGGATGACAAAATGCATTTTACGTTGTGCAGAGACTATGATGCAATTGTGTCCATTTTGTTATTGTATTTTCAAAAGTAAAAAAAAATATTGGACATAGCTCCAAAGCTATTCGCTGAGGATACGTAACTCGATTTCCATTTAGTCGACTTAGTCAACTTCCACTTAGTCATAGAGTCCAAAATTATTTTCTATTGTCGGAGAAATCACAACGCCGAATTTTCGTAACGACTTTTGATTTTGCATTCAAAGCTTTTTTGCTCGATTTTAATTTTTTTAAAATAGCCCAAAAGTATGCAACAATTATTGTTATTGTTGTTGTGATATTCTACACTTTTAATATAGTTTAGCGAGGATCGCTTATATTATTTGTTGCTAAAACTACAGATCAAAAACTCGATATCAGTCGACGTTGGTTTGGGAATTAGAAACACGAAAATCGATGAAGAAAGCAAAAGTTTTGGTCATGTTTACCCTGAATGTTCCCTAGAAGTTCAAGATTATAACTCTTAAATTAATTTAGAAAATAATATTTAGAAATTTACGACTTACTTTCACGCTTGTTGATTAATGAGGTACGAGTCCTTCGGAAAATAGTTGTTAAAAACTCTCTAAGAAAATATTCTTAAAACCACGAATTGATAGCTCATCGAGCCCTTCGGAAAATCTTTTGTAACAAAACCACGTTTATGGTTCTTCGAGTTCTTTAAAGAACCTTCATTAAGACTCCACGTTTGTGGCTCTGGGGGTCCTTCAATAATTTTTTTTTAAATTTGACAGCTTTTACTGAGAAACTTCTTTAAAACTTCAGAGAATCTTCTTTAAAACTCCACGATTGTGGATCATTCAAAAATAATTTTTAAAATATCTGAAAGTCCTTCAAAAATTATTCTTTAAAAAGCTCCACTTTTACGGCAGAGAGGGAGAGAGATATAGAGTATGTAAGAAATTTTTCTTTATAAAATACATGAGGATCCTTCGGAAAATATTCTTTAAAGAATCCGTGTTTGTTGCTGGGAGAGTCCTTTAAAAAAATCTACGCTAATGACTCTCAGAGTCCGTTGGACATTTTTTAATCTACATTGAAGGCTACGAAAGTGCTTCAAAATATATTCTTCAAAAATTGACGTTTATGGCTCTAGAATCCTTCTTTAACACTTCAGAGTACCTTCTCTAAAACTCCACGTTTGTGGCTCTGGAGGTCCTCCAAAAAAAATTTTAAAAATCTGAGATTCCTTCAAAAAGCTCCACTTTTACGGCAAAGAGAGAGAGAGAGAGGGAGTCCTTAGGAAAACTTTCTTTATAAAATAAACATGTAAGGCATTGAAGGTTCTTTGGAAAACATTCTTAAAAATGCGTGTTTGTGGTTGGGAGAGTCCTCTAAAAAATCTAGGCTTATGACTCAAAGAGTCCTTTGGGCATTTTTTGAATCTAAATTGAAGGCTTCAAAATATATTCTTCAACAAATTACATTTATGGTTTTAGAGTCTTTTGAAAAAGTTAAATTTTATGATTGTAAGAGTCCTTTAGTTCCGAGAATCCTTTAGAAAATCAACGCTTATTATTCTCAGTGTCCTTTGGACAATGATCTTAAAAGTCCAAACTGAAGGCCGCGAAAGTTGATGTTGATGTTTGCGGTTCAAAAATCCTTTAAAATCTTCTTTGAAGAAATTTAATTTTATGGTAGTGAAAGTCCTTTAGAAAATATTCTTTTTGGCACTTAAAGTCCCTGAGAAATATTCTTTAAAAGCCTGTGAGTTCTTCAAAAACATTTTTTAGAAATCCACGAAGACTTTAATAGTCCTTGAGAAAATAATCTTAAAAACTCCTCGTATATGGTCCTCAGAGTCCTTAAAAACTAAACTACAATAGTTCATTAGAAAATATTCTTTAAAATATCCATGTCTATGACTTTTAGAGTCCTTGAGAAATACTAATGTAAAAATCCCATTTAAGGCCCTCTGAGTCCGTCAAAAAACACTCGGTTAAGACTTTGATAGTCTTTCCGAGAAAAAAATCCTTAAATTTATAAAAATGCCAGTGTTATTGTCTCTCAGAGTCCTTTTGAAATTTTTCTTTGAAAAATCCACCTCAGAGAGTCTTCCAAATGTGGGAGTCCTTCAGAATCTATTCTTTGAAAACTCCAAATGGTTTTCAGAAAATATTCTTTGAAAAATCCACTCCAGACAGTCCTCAAAATGTGGGAGTCCTTCAGAAACTATTCTTTGAAAAATCCAAATGCTCTTCAGAAAATATTCTTTGAAAAATCCAAATGCTCTTCAGAAAATATTCTTTGAAAAATCCAAATGCTCTTCAGAAAATATTCTTTGAAAAATCGAAGTCTGAGAGTCCTTCAAGAAATTTTCTTCGAAAAATCCACGTCTGAGAGTCCTCCAAATGCTGGGAGTCCTTCAGAAAATATTTTTTGAAAAATCCATGTCTGAGAGTCCTTCAAGAAATTTTCTTTGAAAAATCCACGTGTGAGAGTCCTTCAAGAAATTTTCTTTGAAAAATCCACGTCTGAGAATCCTTCAAGAAATTTTCTTTGAAAAATCCACGTCTGAGAGTCCTTCAAGAGGTTTTTTTTAAAAATTTACGTTTGAGAATCCTTCAAGAGGTTTTTTTTAAAAATTTACGTTTGAGAATCCTTCAAGAAGTTTTCTTTGAAAAATCCACGTCTGAGAGTCCTTCAAGAAATTTTCTTTGAAAATTCCACGTCTGAGACTCCTTCAAGAAATTTTCTTTGAAAAAACCACGTCTGAGAGTCCTTCAAGAAGTTTTCTTTGAAAAATCCACGTCTGAGAGTCCTACAAGAAATTTTCTTTGAAAAATCCACGTCAGAGAGTCCTTCAAGAAAAAAAAAATGCACATTTGAAAGTCCTTCAAAAATACATTTAAAAAATCCACGTCTGAGAGTCTTTCAGCGAATATCCTTAAAAAGAGAATATCCTTTGAAATATCCACGTCTGAGAGTCCTTCAAGAAATTTTCTTTAAAAAATCCACGTCTGAGAGTCCTTCAAGCAATTTTCTTTGAAATATCCACGTCTGAGAGACCTTCAGAACATATTCCTCTAAAAATACACATATGAGAGTCCTTTAAAAATACATTTAAAAAATACACGTCTGAGAGTCTTTCAGAAAATATCCTTAAAAAAAGGATTTTTCAAAAAATCCATGTTTGTAACTCTGAGGTACATTAAATATATTTTTTAAACAATTAAAGAAATAAAATAAAATATATTTAAAAAAATATTCTTTAAAAAAATTAGGTCTGAGGTTTTTTATGACTCTGAGAGTTTCAAAAGGGCGCAACAGCGAATATTATTATCCTTGCCGCAGAGAAATCTAAGCTGAAAATAGGAAAACAATTGTCGAATTCCTTGTTTGCCATTGTAAACAATTTCATGATAAAAAACTAAAAGATTGCCTTCCAGATTTTTTTTGTATAACAAAACAAGTTATGAAATCATCATCATTTGTTTTGTTGCTCCTAAAAGGAAAGAAGGCAGCCCAAGACACACTTGAAGCTGCTGACAAACAGCAGGGATTTCATTAATCTCCTCTACGTGACAGAAATGTTGAAATGGCAAACTTCTTGAATATTAACTATGTTGTGATGTTTTCCCATTTTTAATAGCCTTTTCTCTCTCTCCCTCTTTTCAGATGGCTGGTGCTGGTGATCCAAAATGGCAAAAAGACGCTTCCGATCAGAATTTCGATTATATGTTCAAATTGTTGATAATTGGCAATTCGAGTGTGGGCAAAACAAGTTTCCTCTTCCGCTATGCCGATGACAGCTTTACATCTGCCTTTGTGTCAACGGTTGGCATTGATTTTAAAGTGAAAACAGTGTTTCGGCATGACAAGCGGGTGAAGCTGCAGATATGGGTAAGTGGGAGTCAGGAGTGGATGGGGTTGCTTTAACGGAATGTATTTTTCGTATTTCTTCTTTAAAATGCTGTTCTCTTTCCATTTCGCAGGACACTGCAGGCCAAGAGCGTTATAGAACAATAACAACAGCATATTACCGTGGCGCCATGGGTTTCATTTTGATGTATGATGTCACAAATGAGGACAGTTTTAATTCTGTACAAGATTGGTAAGACAACAATGGGAGGAGGTGTCGACTCCATCTCAGGAATGAAAATTTTAAAATTTGTTTCTTTCCTTTTTGTCCATGGAATTTAGGGTAACTCAAATCAAAACCTATTCGTGGGACAACGCACAAGTCATTCTGGTGGGCAACAAATGCGACATGGAAGACCAGCGAGTAATCTCCTTTGAACGTGGCCGACAATTGGCCGATCAATTGGGAGTGGAATTTTTCGAAACATCGGCCAAAGAGAATGTTAATGTTAAGGTAAGGAAAGAGAAAAAACTTTTAATATCCTCCACAATTTGGAAGGAACTTGAAAATTAAAAAATATCCGTCGTAAAATACCTCTTAAATAAAACCGTTATATGGCAGCTATACGAAAACGTGGACCGCATAGACAGTTTTCTGCATTATATTGTAGATTGCGAACGTCAAGTACGAAGTTAGAAAAAAATGTCCGGTTAACAAGGTCGCTAAAATCATCAAAATACAGAATGTTGGGAGGTATCGTTATTTCGGATCTATATGAAGTAGTAGTACACATTAAGACCTTCAAATTTGAAACAATTCCCGTGGAAAATACCATATATAGGGAGGTACCAAAGAAGTGGAGGTATGCAAAGAAGTGGACCTGCATTAGGAGTTTGAAACAATTCCGGTGAATAATGTCGCTAAAATCATGAAAATACCGAGTATCGGAAAAGTCCATATGGCGACTATACGAAGACGTGGACCTGCTTACAAAAATTTTGGTCATAGGCTGTAGTCCCATTACGAACTTCAAATACGAAATTTAATACCGGTGAATACTGTCGCTAAAATCATGAAAATACCGAATATTTGAAGGTACCGTCATATAGATGGACGACGACGCATAAAAAATATTTTCCATAGGTTGTAGTAACCAGTAGGATCTTCCAATACGAAATTTGAAACGATTCCGGTGAATAATGTCGCTAAAATCATGAATATATCGAATATCAGGAGTAACCGCTATATGGCAGCTTTATAAAACGTAGACCGACATGGCCCATTTACGAACTTAATCTGCCTACTGGTAAACTATGCATGTGTGCAATATTTTAACCTTCTACCTCAATTCGTTCGAAATATAACGTGATTACAACAGACATACAGACAGACGGGCATCGCTAGATAGTCTTAGAATTTTACGCTGCTCCAGAATATATGTATATACTTTGTAGGATCTAAAATGAGTATTTCGAGGAGTTACATACCCTCCATAGAATGGTTTAGGGTATAAAAATATAACTTAAATTGACACAGCAATTGCTTCCCGCAGAGGTGGCTTTCAGAGTGACCACTGAATCAGTGCTGAATAGGATTTTGATAGTTTATATATTAATTATATTTCTTGGTTGTTGTGTGCGACAACATAAAAAAAACACAGTAGAGAATGTTTAAGGAAATATAGAAAATCACGTTGATGAGTCCATCAAAAGTGTCCTTCGGAAAATATTCTTTAAAAATCCAAGCCAGAGCCTTATTCGGAGAATATTTTTTTTTTTTAATTCACGTCTGAGTGTCTTTTGGAAATTTTTTTTTAAATATCGGAAAATATTCTTTAAAAAAGTCCTGATGTCTCGTACCAATAGTGATCCATATGCGAATAATTTTAACAAAATAATTGCACTATTTTTAGTGCCTTTTAGTACATACATTTCAAATTTAAAGATTTTACCCTTAGCACTTTTTTGGGCTTAGCAAATTTTCTGTATATAGATGCGGTAGGTAGAAAAATCAGTGCACCTATCCTGGGTATTTTATAGGAATATGCGTAGTTTGAAGAAAATCACATTTTCTGACAGCTATTATTTTTGTTTGGACATTTTCGAATTCAGTTTTTCAACTCTATTCCTTTACTCAATATTTTTTTCGTACAAATTTAGGACGTAATCTAAATATCAAAATTTAGATTTTTATCTCTATCACTGCATCCAATACCAAGTATAGTACCACTCAGTACTTTTCATACAATTATAGTAAACATTTCCGAAACCACTTCAATATGTCCCGTCTACACCTACCTAATACCAAATTTCAGATCTCAAATACTATATTTTCACCCAATACCAAATTTTACCAAATATAGTACTATTTAGTACTTTTCGGTCATTTGTATTACCCATTTTCAAAACCACCTCTTTAGCAGAAAACAACCAGCAATAGGGACCATCTTCATCCATTCACCCTAAACCAAACTGTTCCAAATTTAGTACTATTTAATACAGTTCTTATATAGGCATATAGTCTAAAATATTCTTGAATATTTTAATTAATTTTTTTCTTTTCTTCTTCCAGGCTGTTTTTGAACGTTTGGTCGACATTATATGCGACAAAATGTCCGAAAGTTTAGATGCTGATCCGACGTTAGTGGGCGGAGGCCAGAAAGGCCAAAGACTGACCGATCAACCTCAAGGCACACCCAATGCTAACTGCAATTGTTAGATTCCTTGTGTTTATGTTTTACAACAGCAGCAACAACAACAAATTCACAAAACAAAACAACCAAACAAAATAGATTATTCAGAAATCAACAACAACAAACAACAAATAAAAAATAGACAAAATAAGTTTATGTTTTTTAAACAAATTATGAATGATTGATACATATTCCAGAGAACAGCAAAGAAAAAATCCACAAGAAATCCATACAGAAACATAAATCAACTGATATAAAAACAAATTATAAATAAATATTAAATAAATTAAAAACAAAAACAAAAAAACAAACAAATTAAAAGGAAAATTATACATATTTACAAATTATTAAATAATATTAATCTATATATTTAAAATAATAAAAAGAAGAAAACAAAAACTAAATAAATAATATAATTGAAAGGAAATATACAAAATAAGCCTAAATTTAACTAAATGAAAATCATAAAAAAATAAAATGAAAATGTTAAACTTAGTAAAAATTGTCATAACACATATTATTATTATTGTAATATTATAAACAAATTATTATAAAAACAATTATTATTCTTGTATCATTATGGCATTATGTATTATCATGACTATAAATTATTATTAATATTATTGATTGATTGTCATATAAACAAAATTATTATGATTATTATTATTGATTGATTGATTGATTATTGTCAGTGTATTGTCTCATGTATTGCGAAAATTAAAAAATAAATATTAAAAAAAGAAAATAATAAATAAATATATATACATATACAAAAATAAAAACAAAAAAACAAAACAAAACAGCCTAAATGAATTTAAGCTAAAAACAACACAAATCATTCCCTTAATCATTGTTTATAAAAAAAAAAAACAAAAACAAAAGATGTATGAATTGTTCAAAACCGATTGAAAACACTAAACCAAGTAATAATCCTAAAAGCATGGAATAAATTATACATACATACAACAACACACATACATACATGCAAACATATATGTTAATCAATAAATTAAATTCAAACTGCTATTGGTAACAGTTATTGGACAAAATTATAGCATTCTTCTTTTTCTATTGGATTTCGAAATTCGCAAAGGTAAACACATTGGTTAAAATTGTAGTAGTGAATGAGAGTTGAAGGCTCAGAATGCTCATCATCCATTAGAATCACTCGAAAGAAATTAGGCAGCTAAAAACTAAACGTCCTATTTTTTTACTCATATATGATGGATGATGATGGGGACGGTGTATAATGCTCCGAAATATTGGTAGGTCTACTACAAAATTGTATTAAATAATATAATTTCTGACTCTTTATAATACAAATTATTCTAATAGCCATCAAATTCCAAAGCGACTTGTTGGTAACTGCGTGCCACATTGATTTAGATTCCTTTAAAGGCTTTTAGAAAATACAAGTAGGCAGGATAATTCTCAATGACTTGAGAATGCTCGATACTAAAGGGTCTTGCTATTCACCAAAGTCGTCATATCAAAGAGCCGAAAAAGCATCCTCTTCGTCAGTTTCCTTTTGAAAAATATTACTCTCTGTAATAGAGAGTAATATGAAGCTAAGCTAATGTGTAACCAATCGAAAAATATATTCTTGTCATATATTTATGGTTTAAGTTCTTCATTTATCATTTGAAACGAAATTTGAAATACTCACCACTCTGTGACGCGTTTCGTTGTGGTTCAGCGTCTTAAAGAGCATATTTGGTATAGATGACTTAGAAGTTATTGTGATAAAGTATATCCATAGTTAATCGACATAATCTCTATTGTAATGACTTGATTCTCCTAAATTTGGTGGATAGGTGAAATCATAATAATTTATATTTCAAATTTATGTATTATATTAAATAGGTCCCTTCAGTGACCTTTAAGGAATTTATTGTCAAAATCCAGCTTTTTTATATCCTCCACTATATATAGAATGAAGGGTATATAAATATCGTCATTTCGTTTGTAACTCATCGGAATGATAATTTTAAACCTCACAAAGTATAGATATTCTTGATCAGCGTAAAATTGATTTAGCCCTGTCCGTCCGTTCGTCCGTCAGTTGTAATCACTCTAGAGTCGAAATTAAATTGTATTAATGAAGAGAGGAAGCTAAAATTTTGCACAGATCAGTCTATTGTCTGCAGGCAGGTCAAATTCAAAGAGGTACTATATCGGTCCACGATATCGTGTAGCCCCCATATAATGGTACCCCCGATATTCGGTATTTGGATTATTATTGCCAATTTTGTCTGAAAAGCCACGAAAGGAGTTCCCCTGGAAGAGTACGATCTATATACAGGGTGAGATACAAAAACTGCAACAAAGTCAAACGCCATAATTTTGAAATTTTTTAAATTTTTTTTGAATAAAAGCAAAAAATGTCGGAAATAGCATCACATTTTAGAATAAGTTTAGATTTGTTCGAGTTGGTCACCTTTGGCACGAATTATGGACTTCAAACGGCCAATGAAACTGTCACATGCTGCCCGAATGTTGCTCTGCGGTATTTTGGTCCATTTCCGGTGAAGCACTTGCTTGAGGTGATCAATACTTTATTATTTTTAGTGCCAACCTTGCTCTCCAAAATACTCCAGAACCAATAGTCCAACGGATTGTTATCTGGAGATTTTGGTGGCCGTTGTGCGCTGGAAATGAAGCGAGGAACCCAAGGCTTTAATACAACCTCCAGAATTTTTACGCGATAATATTCGGCATTTATTCTGATATCACGATCGAGCGGAGAGCGACCATCGGCTGTTATGGCGGCCCACACCATCACCATAGTCGTTGCTTGAGTTCTAGTGGCCAACCGAAAGTACACATTTCAGCTAACCTCTTTGACAAGCAAACACGATCATTTTGTTTTTTTTTTTTTACAAACTGCGGGACATCGTATGTTTTCTCATCGGAGAAAACCAAATTCGGCAGTTCACTACTATCGGACATGTCGATTTTCTTTCTCTTGGGGTGTAAGTTCTGCACATTTGCACTTTTTCGAGGTTCAATGGCTTTACCCCGGGCTCATTTTGCAATATTTGCCGAATGGAATATTGCGATATGTTCAGTTCACGAGCCATTTTTCATTTTCGGCGACTGCGACGCGGGTTTCGATCAAGTCGCTTCTTTACTTTTCGAACCATTTTTGCTGATGTTGCTGTTTTCTTCCGTCCACTTCCTTGACGTCGGACTACGTTACCATATATGTGGGCTATACAAAGACGTGGGCCTGCGTAAAAAATTTCCGCCAAGGGTTGAAGAGCCCATTACGAACATTAAAGACGAAATTTGAAAAAAGTCCGGTGAATACTGTCGCTAAAATCATCAAAATACCGAATATCGGGGGTACCGTTTTTGGGGGATATGTGATATCGTGGACTCATATAGACAGTTCTATTTCAGAGGGTAAATTATTCAGAAGGAACTTCTTGAGTGGATTTCCAGACAATTCCATTCTAAATAGGTGCTAAAATCATGAAAATACCAAATATTAGGAGGTACCCTTATATGGGGGTTATACGCTATCCTGGACCTATATAGACAATTCTCCCGATCTCCTGCGATTCCATTGAAAACTTTTGCTACAATCATCAAAATATCGAATAATGGGGGCTATATAAGAAGTCATGGACCTGCATGAGAAATTTTCAATCATAGATGGTAGCACCTATTAGGAACTTTATATACGAAATTTGAAAAAAAAACCGGAAAAACATTTTTCTAAAATCGACAAAATTCCGAATATGGGGCTATGTGGACGAGGATCTGCATAGAAAATTTTAAAGTAACCACTGCAAACTTGAAACAAGAAATTTGAAAAAATTCTGGTGAAATACTGTCGCTAAAATCATCAAAATACCGAATAGCGGGTGTACCGTTGTATGGGGGTATGCGATATCGTGGACCTATATAGACAGTCCTTTTTCATGGGGTAAAGTACTTGAAAGGAACTCTTTGTGTGGATTTTCAGACAATTTCAATAAAAAAATTGGCTACAATCATCAAAATATCGAATATTGGGAGGTTCCGTTATTTGGCTGATATACGATAGCGTGGACCTATATTGACAAATCAAATTACTGTTAAAGAATTAGAAGTGTGTAGAAGTTCTGATAATTCCATTGAAAAATGTGGCTGAAATCATCTTGAATATCGAATATCGGGTGGGGGTTGCCTTTTTATGGGGGGCTACACAATATCGTTGATCGTTGACAAAAGACTGACTGACTAATATACCCACCATACTATGTATGGTGGATGGTATAAAAATTATATATCAGAGCAATTGATATATTGGAACCGCGAGTGTTCAAAAATCCATCCAATTCTTGATGAAAATTGGCAGAGGTATACTGGGGTATATCTGATATCTGGTTACAACTATTATTTTTTGGAGAGTATATTATAAATGTAAGGGACTTAAACTCCAAATCGGAAATGCACAAATAACATATCACACTGTGGTCTAGGGTATAAAAATCCTTTCAGTGATTGTTAAAGAAATTGAGATTAAAATCCTTTTTATTATCAATATGATATCTTTTAATATTAATCTTCGATATTCCAACTGATTTGTATCACAAAGTTCTTTCATAATAGGAATTTTATATATCATAGTTTTAGATATTTCTATGTAACTCTATTTAAGATAGGTCAATAAGATTATTTTGTACGTCTTCCGTACATAAGAGAGTTTTTGAAGATATTCTCTAGATTTCTCCGTCTATTTAGGATCTAACAAATACCATATCTGTAGAATTTCTTGAAAATCTCCTCTCGATGGAAGACCTCTCAAAGAGTATCTATCTAGTGAAGAGCTATCATAAAGGGTTTCTATTACGACTCGTTTTTCAGAGGTATTCGGAAATCCAAAGAAGACTTCTAAAAGCTTTTCTTTCTATGAAAAACATATAAAAAATGGTTTCTATTTCCAGAAGAACGGTCGAATATCTTTAGGAGATTTTTGAAAGGCGTCATATTAAAATGTAAGACAAATGACACATCTCAAAGTTCTTCGGAGATTTTATATCTTCTGATGATTTATTGAAGGTCACTTACTTAAACTTATAAAAGTCCTTCTATCCAAAAAATATCCTGAACATTTTCTACCAATGAAGACCTTTCAAATGTTTTTTATTTTCATTAATTCTCAATGGTTTTCTTTTTATAGATGATCCCTGTCTGAGAAAATCTTTGCCAATACTTTAAACTGGTAGAGGCCCTCTATCTTTAAAAGACTTTTCAGAATTTTTGCACTGTGACAATTCAAAAAATTTACCAAGACATATTACCAAATTCTTTTATCAATGGAAGACCTTTCAAATGATTTCCGATATCAGCAATAATTTATTTTAAAAATATAAAATTGCTTGAACTCAGATAAGAAATGTCAGCTCCCTTAGAAATGCTGAAATTTATAATAAGTTTAAGATTCACAGTAAGTCCCATTTCTACATAGGGCTCTAACATTTCCTTAAGCTGAACTTACCAAATCTTTTGGAAACTTAGTGCATAATTTGGGAGACTTTGAAATATATTCAAAATATAAAAGAGTTTCGAGAGGACTTTAAGAGATTAGAAGATGACTAAGAATTTTTTATTGTTCAGACATGCTACAGGGTGAGATAAAAAAAGCGGCAACAAAATCAAATGCAATAACTTTAACATTATTTTTTTTTTTAATTTTATTAAACGAAAGCCAAAAATGTCGGAAATAGCATCTAATTTTAGAATAAGTTTAGATTTGTTCGAATTGGTCACCTTTGGGACGAATTATGGCCTTCAAACGGCCAATGAAACCGTCACAAGCTGCCCGAATGTTGTTCTGCGGTATTTTGGCCCATTCCCAGCGAAGCGCTTGCTTGAGGTGATCGACACATTGGTATATTTAAGTGTCAACCTAGCTTTCTAAGATACTCCAGACACAATAGTCCAACGGATGGGTATCCGGAGATTTTGGTGGCCATAGTGCGGTGGAAATGTTGCGAGGAACTTCATTTCGTAACCATTCTTGGTGTGCTGAGTGCGATGATGCTGAGTCCTGTTGGAA